TAAAGAAGTTTATGATGGAGGCATAGGCAGCAGCGTCCCTCTTAAAACATCACCAAAAGCCAAACTTCAATTGCTAACCCTCCTGCCAATCGTGGCAACTACTGGCAGCCCTTTCCCCCTCTCTATATGGAAAACTATGTTCAGCAGTGGACAGTTAACGATTGATATAGAAAATAAATTACGAAAAACAATAAGTCAATCGTATAGAATGAAATAATTGGATGTTAAAATAATTATAACAAACCCAAACTCAAAAGCGTAGATAATTTTAACGAAGTATAAGAATGTTTCGAGTTGCATATACTAATTTATTTTTTACAAATAAATTAGAATATACAATTAATTACAACCATGCATCTTTACACTTGTGCTTTGGTTTAAAAAGTATTTAATTACCATATACACCAAATTAAAAAAAAAATAACAACCAATACTACTATATTTTCTAATGTCACTATCAAAGACATTTTTTGGCTATTACAGTTGTGATAAATTTAAAGTTTAAGTTACTGAAATCTATTTATCTATCAATAGATAAAGATTCGCTGGGAAAGGTGACGAAAACCCGTTATTCTGTTATAAAGTATAATTTAATTATAAACATTAAAACAACAATGGCAATCGAGTTAATGACATTGAATCAATTCAATTTACACTAATAAATAATGACATCTTTTTAAGATATCCAATAAAATAATTACATATTTATAAAAATGTAAAACTAATTAATTACAATTTCTTACACAATACAATTTTGTTACTGCCACGAATTTTGTATATGGCACAGTATAAAAAAAATGGATATTTATACATTTCTCATAGATACTGGAGCGTTTCATCATTACTAGCAGATTTTTATACTGAGACTTCCCGAACTATCGGCGCTTCAATATGACATCATCCAACTACTCCAAAATTACAAATATTTTCATTTGATATTTATACATTTATTAGATTTTAGTAACAGTATAAATACATAAGTTTTTTAAATAAACTAATTAAATTTAGTAAACATGTAATTCTCCGCAAGAAATAAGCGACTTCAATTGTGAATGAATCGTAAAACTACGATGTTTCGTAGATACCTTACATTGTAAATATCGTGTATTTACATATAGATTTTGCTTTGCAACAAATTTCTTGTTTTCTGCAAAGAAAAACGGATTGAATCGTTACAAAATGAGAATTGGACCAACATGATAGTAAACCTTATTGATTCTATAAATAATAATGAAAATATGTACAAGACTTGCAATATAATCGCATAACACACACAAAAAAAGCAATCGAATTGAAAGTTTACGATACATCTTGTTATAATTAGGTACGTGAGTACTCCCGATTTACGTTTCATTTTTGCAGAGCAAAATCCTATTGATATTACAAAATGGGAAATTTTTAAAGATCGATAGATAGATAGTTGTTTATTACTTCTTCACACAAAAACTACTCAAAGTATATGAAAGAAATTTTGTCCACGGATAAGATGTGTCTTAACTTGGAACATAAAATATTATATACTAGCGATCCGGCCCAGCTTCGCACAGGTAGATAGAATTTTCAAAAATAATATACAGCTTATATTACGCGCTGATAATGTACCTTTCTAAGGTGAAAGAATTTTTAAAATTGGTAGAGTCATTTTTGAGTTTATCCATTACGAACAAATCTCTTCTACGATCAAATCTTTCCTCTTTATAAATACAATGGTTTGCGCAGACAAAACCGCGGAATATGGCTAGTATACAATAAATATAGTAAATAATATAAAATTTTCCACCAAACAACTGATCCGTCGTGATTTTATCTCTAGATATGTATCATTGAAGGCCATAAAAATTATATAAGATGAATCAGTCTATTTGCACTGTTCAATAGCAATGATGTTTCGATCTACACAATGTTGCCAAATTGAGTATTTTTATCATCGCGAATTTTAGAAAAATAATATTATATTATTGGAGAAATTTATGAAGAAAAATTAAATGGGCCTGAAAAAAAATGAGATAATTTTTTGACACTTGCTATTTGTAAACCGTATAATAGTATATACTTTTCCATGTGATCCCGGCATAGAATGGCTCACTCCTTCCTTTCCCGTGGATGTCGTAAGAGACGACTAATGGAACTTAATAAGTTTGTTTGTCTATTAACTCTTAGTATCTTAATAGCTTAATCAATCACTATAACTTTTGGTAGACAAGTATGTTACGTAAACGAAGTCGCAGGAAAAACTATAACTAAAATAATAAACTATAAATAAAATATTATTAATAAACAATAAATAAAATAAAATTTTGAAATAAATTGCACACGCTTTAACCTGAATGGTCGCGTACAATACGGTTTCAAAGGATTTTTTTTCCGCGAAAGCTCAGGTTGTAGAATGAGCTACCTGCCGAGGTTTTCCCTAGAGACTACAGTAAGGGTATATTCAAGTTTTTTCAGTGATATTCTAGTGTTGCTGACGTACATAGGCTACAGTGATCGTTTACCAGCAGATGAGCTGTATGCTTATTTATCACCTTTGTGGTATAAAAAAAAAAATACTAATATTAGGGGAAAAATGTAATTAACTCAAAACGGCATCTGTCGCATTACAAATAAATAGAATAAAATGTTCGTGTAGACTTTTGCGGAAATGTGTGGAAATGGGCCAATTACTGTTGGAAGCGCTTAAGGAGCGTCTTGTCCAAATTTGATTTTCACCGCGCTTGTAATATATATATTTTTTTATATTATGAATAACAAGCTTTTACCCGCCACTTTGTCCGCTTGACCGAAATATGCTGATTGAATGGTATAATGAGTTATCCTTTTCTATTCGAAATACTACGTGTGTATCAATATTCTTGATAATTAATTGAGTCAATAAAATACCTCTTGGTAACTAACAAACATGCTCATTTTAAAACTTTAACATTAGTAAAAATATTATAACATCCACTTTTTTCTGGGTATTCCATTAGAGACTTCCCGTAAAGAAAGATAGTCTTTACACTCTATACTCTTGTAGAGTATGTATATACAAAATTTCATAGTGATCGATTAAGTCGTTAAAGCGCTAAGAGGTAACAAACTCATTTTCATATAATATTAGTTAGGGCATCATTAAATAACACATAGTACATATGAAAAACATCAGTAAACAAAAATCTTAAGGCGTACTTCAATAAATTCGAAGTGATTAATAAATAATCATGAATATGCATTTTCTGTCACGCACGCCTCAGTAAACAATACAGTAAGTAGGTCAACAGGATATGGGGGATGCCCCACGAGAATAATTCCTTCTTGCCAAATTTTCTTTCTGTTTCGTGCAAATCTCATACATTATTCCTTGTTCTCTGCTCATGCAACGACATCAAAATTGGTCCGCTATTTTTTATTAAAAAAAATCGAAAACAGTTCACGAATTTCTCCATGTACTATAAAATACTTGGTAAAAACAGCTGTATTATATAAATTCAAATGTATTTACAGAGAAAAAAAATAAAGAACCTTCTTCTTTTTGAAGTCGATCGAAAACGATACATTGTTCCACGAATCGTGTAATTTGCTACAATTTCTTTAACTTTTTAATAACTTGTAATTTCAAATAGTATTCCACAAAAAAAAAAACAATTTTAATTATAGAAAAACCAGTTACTTTGATTTCAAAACTAAACTATTGAACTGATTTTAATAAAAATTTAACCAATCCGTAAAAATATATTATCAGATAAAAAAAATAATTTTCCAAATCGGTTTATATCGGTTTATGAGGTAAAAAACATAAAAAAATACAACCGAAAAAAACCTCCTTCTATTTGCTAGTCAGTTGAAAATACTACAAAAATATTTGTTAACAAATAAAATGGTATTTTTTTAACAAAATTATATTCTTTAAAATGGAAAACTATACATTTTATATAACTATATTTTATATTTTTATTAAAGCAACGATATACATTAATTTGTTAATATACTTATAATAATATGTACATATTAATATATTATAATTATATCATAATTGATTACTGTATATAAAAGTACAAAAATAACATTTGATTACTTAATAATGTAATCAACTACATGTGTGGGCATGTAATCGATTATACATATATTATATTTATCATTAAAATAATTTCACATTTGATCGATATTTTTATCTTTAAAATTGATCGATATACAAAAAACATAATAGTTGTTTACCTCTCTTTCATTCAAATGTAGTTCTTAAATCAAAAACATTTTATATTTCATTCTTATTATTTTTACTAGCTTTTTTCCGGCTACTGCGTACGAGTGGATTTCAGAAGTAAAAAAACTAATGAAATACCCCATCTCTAGTAGGCATATCAAAATAAACATAGACCAATTTTTAAGTTAAACATTCAGAAACACAACGGTGAAAATCTCATTCAATGTGATGCATCTATTAGTTTTATTTGAACCCCTCATGTTTCTTACAACTTACAATTTTGTAAGTTTGCTTTTCACAATGTTCTTTATATTGCTATGTCATTATTAGTGGGCCCCTCAACCCGACGATTATAAGAGAACCCATCTAAAAGTAAACCTTTAAGAATGCTGACTCATTTTATTATGAAAAACCTAAGTTGTAATCGATCACATTTTATGGTAGAGTATATTGCATCAGTGTTACTTTTTTACTCTACTCAATTTAAAGTACAATAAATGTACTGAGAGACGTGAGACTACAAAGTTTAGTCCGAAATAAAATAATGAAAATAGCAACACAGATGGATGTAATCGTCGTATTATTTAACAGTTGGCACTACCCTTATATTGACGATTCGATATTTCGAATTTCATCAATACAAAGGCAACCATGTAGAAATGTTAACACAATAAAACAAGTTAATATATGTAGTTTTATACAACTATTTTATAATTTATTTTTGTTCAAAATATCGATATTGATAGATATCATAAACACTTGCTTTAGTCTCAAAGGTTACACAGTTTTCACTCAATCTTTTTTTTTTGAAGACTTCTTTTATAAAAATTCATTTTGATCCTTGTTTTTCTTTTTCCAAACTCTTTTTTTAAAGTTATCGAAACTCTTTTTATTGCACAAATATACATATTATATACAATTCATCGTAAATTTCATAATTTTTTTTTAAGTCAACAAAACCCAGGGTTGGTATGTTCGATGACGCACCGTTTGCAATATTTCTTGACAGCCCTGTAACCTCGTAATGTTACAGGCGTGTCTTGTATGTTCAATTGAGTTAGACCCCGGCAATAATACGCTACTGCTTCCAGTCCATCATCACCTATGAGTTCGCAGCCACGTAGTGCCAGCTTCTTCAAGTTGGGACAGCAACGCGCGAGAATCTGAAACGTGGAGATATAATAAAATATTATATTTATTATATAAATAACTGATTTTCACCTACGACTTCGGCCTTCGGATATTTTTTTATACTACTATGATGGCAAACAAGCGTACGGCCCATCTGATGGTAAACGGGGTTACTGTAGCCTATGAATACCTGTAACACGAGGGATGTTACACCCACGTTGCCAACCCTATACTTCACTAACTAGCATAAAAATTAGCCTATGCCCTTCTCAATCCCATATAATACGTGCATACTATATTTCATAGTAACTGGTTATGCCATTAAATCGCTAAGAAGTAATAAAAACAAACTCACTTTCACATTTATAATAATTTACCAGAGGGAGACTGTACAAAAGTCGATTGCTTGGGTACCTCTGTCTCATTCGTGTTTCAAGCGTAAAGCAGTTGTGTTTGCAAGGCTGTGTTTCGGTTTGAAGCGTGGGATATGGCGTGAATTTACTGTGTACAGAGGAATAACACCTGAGTCCTCAGGAATGGCAACGCAAGGGGGCTATCATGGGCGAAACAGTATACTCTGTTATGTCCATGGTGCTGCTCGTGTCTATAGGCGACGGTTACCACTTTCCATCAGGTGGGCCGTCAGCTTGTTTGCCATTCTAAGTTGTATAAAAAAAATATAATAAGGATATTATAAATGTGAAATATTATACAATATGTTTTATTTATTATAATGATACTTGAGAAAGATAAAATAGTTTACAATAATATTTTAGGCATTCAGTCTAGTCAGTTGTATTATAATTTTTTATTTATACAACTATGGTGGCAAACAAGCATATAGCCCGTCTGATGGTAAACGGGGTAACCGTAGCCTATAGACGCCTGTAACATCAGGGATATCAGGCGCGCGATGCCAACCCTGATTGATAACGCTTTATTTATATTTACGTAATGTTAAATAAATAAATTTCCAGAACTTATATGATTTTTACTCTGATATATAGTACCGATTTCTTTAAGACATTTTAAAATTTGTGTGTAACTCTATTTGTATGAAGTTCGAAAGATAAAGAAGAATCGTGAATAATAGAATCAATGATCGGCACGTTTCTTTGCGTAAATAAGGTCACGGGATCAATTACCGGTTGGGCCAATTTGGGAAACGAACTTTTCTGAATTTGTTTGGGTTTGGGTTGTGCCCTCAGATGGTCATTGCCTAGTTTCTCGTAATACAGTGTGTCCTAATTTAGCTAGCGAAGACCAAGCAATTGGTGTTATTGTGTAGCACTTACATAATATAAATTTTAATATCACAAAAAAATCACGAAAATAACCGACTTCAATTATGGCAGAATCAGTTATTCCGATTTAAAAACTAAACTACTAAATCGATTATGTTAAAATTTCTATGGGATCAATCTGTAAATCGCAGGAGACTACAGCATGGGGTTTTTCAAAGAGGGGTAAAGAGGTTTCTTCAGGGTCGGCAATGCGTGCATAATACCAGAGGTATTGCAGGTGTTCATAGGCTACGGTAACCACTTACCATCAGGTGGGCCGTATGCTTGTTTGCCACCTTAGTGGTATAAAAAAAAAAGATAAAAAATAATTATCGAAATCGATCTACAACAGACGGAATTATAGGATACCAAACTTAAAAAATACAACGGAATTGAAAACCTCCTACTTTTGAAGTCGGTTGAAAACAGTAAATATGGAATCTACACGTGAGTAATCTCTTCCATTTAAATATCAGTACCAGCAGCCAGTTTAAAATTGGCAAAGTTATTATGTTACATACACACAAAATGTCCAAATATCTTTTTGAATTTTGAAGTCAATTAAAAAAAAACAAGCCTCACCTGAAGACCAGCTTCCGACACATCAGTGGCTCCCAAGTCCAAAGCCCTGAGCCTTGAGCATCCCCTCGCGACAGCCTCCACCCCATCATCTCCAAGAGCTCCACAGCCCCTCGCGTTCAAATACCGGAGTTTGTAACATCTCCGTGCGAGGGTACGGATACCGGAGTCTGACACCTGGTTTAATTTTTTTTATAATGAATGACAATGGAATGGTATCCCCGCCTACATAATCAGTATATGCTGGCGGTACCTTTGAGGTATAATAGGTGACGATAATCCGGACAGCTAGTTTAACGACTTGGAATATTTAAAAATAATAATATTCTATAGATAAAAGATAGATAGATATATACTCTTTATTGTTTCCTCCAAAAGATTACAATAGTAAACTTTTTATAAATATAAATAATTACAAGAAATAATCACAATGAGAAGAAATAGTATTGAAAAACAGTATTTTTTCTACCTATATATCAATTTTTAATATTCTCTAAAGCAATTTGTACAAATATATTTTTCCTTCTAAATATTCGTTCTAAACCTGGAAAAATTTATAAAGGATTCCAGTGTCCTTTTTTTTATAGATATTGAGAATCGATACCGAGCTGACGACCCATCGTCTGAAGAAGTGTTTTTGTATAAAGATATTTATAGACCTAAAATATTTATCAAGTTTTAAGCATTACATTACTCAAGTGTTATATTATTAGTTCACTGGATGTCAATGAGACTGGCATGTCCATTAAGAATATTTAAGTGTGAATAAAGAGAAAAAACATCGTAAGAATCGACTAAGGGAGAGCGAGGGATGGGCGGCTGCGTCCCTCTTAAAACATCTTTAAAGCCTGACTGCGTTTACCAATACGCCTGCCAAGCATGGCAATTACTAACCTCCCATAATTAATAACCTCCCAGGTTTTGCCAGAGGGAAACTTATATTTTTTTAGTGTGATAATGACATGGTAATCCCGCCTGCGCTATCGGTATACACTGGCGGGGTACTAGTGAGAGATGACAGATGACGATGAAGCAAGTCAGTCAGGCCCATCGTGACGAATTCAACAATAATTAGCCACCATGGTTTCCAGGGGAACCACGTGGACGTCGACCTAATAGAGCATATTGCTAGTAATGGGCCTGTTATTAATAACTAACCCCATTACTAACAATCCCTTTCCCCCGGGAAGCTTACGTTCAACACTGGACAATTAAAGGCTGATATGATTGTTTTCTCATTGTGATTATTTCTTGTAATTGTTTATATTTATAATAAGTTTACTATTGTAATCTTTTGGAGGAAACAATAAAGAGTATCTATCTATCTATCTATCTATGATGAAGATGAAAGAGAAAAAATTCTGGATGTTGGAAATGCTTGAAAGTAATAGGACATTTCACTCTCATAATATCAGTAAAGATGTCATGGACAGCACAGTGTATACTGTGGCGCCCAGATTATTTATTCTATAAACAGCAATTATCACCAATCTTCACCAGAGACTGACACTTTAAATAATATAAAAATAAACTTACCTGAGTACACTTAGCGACAGAGAGATACCTCAACGCTGGACCTAACTTCGCTAGTTCGTATAAGCCGAAGTCCGTGACCCCGGTACAGTCGGATACGCTTAGCTCTTTGAGAGCGCAATATGAAGGGATCCATCTGACGCCTGCATCTAAAAAAAAATGAAAATAAATTTTTGATGTATAAAAATGGAATAGTAATCCCACTGGTTTATATTATATTATACTATTTATATTATTGAAATCAGGAACAGATAAGAAAGAAAATTATAATACTACTTTTAAAATAAACTAATAACCTTATCCTATATATGCGATTAATTCCCATCCTTAGGCATGAAATAATGCCCAAATAAAAGATTTTTATTTTTTCCTTTTTAACCGACTTCATAAAAGGAGAACGTTCTCACTGTATTTTTTATGTTTGTTACTTACAGACTCCATCGTTTATAAAATAATTTCAAAAATTCTTATTTATCTGTTTACTTTCAAATCTATTATATCATATAATTCATTATTATCATCATATCAGCCGTTAACTGTCCACTGCTGAACATAGGCCTCCCCCATAAGGGGGATTTTGTCAGTAGCCGCCCCACTTGGCGGGCATGTTAGTCACCATAAGACTTTAGTGATATTTTATAAAGGACACTTCTGCCCATCCATCAACTATTTAAGTCCCTTAGTCTTTTTTTTATACATCTTGGAATGGCAAACAAGCTAACGGCCTGAATGATGAAAAGTGGTAACCGTCGCCTATAGACATGAGCAGTATCATGGACATAACAGAGTATACTGTTTCGGCCATGATACCCCCCATGCGTTGCCATTCCTGAGGACTCAGGTGTTATACCTCTGTACCCAGTAAATTCACGCCATATCCCACCCTTCAAACCGAAACACAGTTATGCAAACACATCTGCTTCACGGTTGAAACACGAATGGGACAGAGGTACCCAAGCAATCGACTTTTGTACAAAGTCTCCCTCTGGTGAAAGTCATCTTACAACACCCACAGGAAGGGAAGGAATAGCCCATTCAATGCTAGCTACCACACGGCAAATATTATATAAAGATATTATTAAAAATTAAAATCAATCGAAATCACCAATTGTGAACGATAAAGGAAACCAGGAATGCAAATAACAAATATATGTATATTAATAAAGAAGCTTAGAAAACTAGGACCCCAAAAGTAAAGCCAAAGAAAACAATGGAAAGATCTGTTAATTTTGAATTAATAATATCAAAACTATAAACAATATATGTGGCCTTTACTCCACACTGTTATTAAATAGTAGTGTAAATAACGTTTCAAAATAGTAGTGTAAAACTATTCACATCGGCTCTTAGCGTTTAGGCATTTAGGGTTTTGTTATTAAACATCTTAACGAAGACAAACTTCGCCGCTATATTACATTACAGCTGCTTCACGATCAGTTGGTTTAATTAATTACTTTTGTACATATAAACTCTTAGATTATATAGATAGAGCATTGAGTGTAAAAATGTGTTAACGTTTCATCAGCCAAACATCAAATTGACTGTTTTTTTTTTTTAATCAAAACAAACACTTTTTTCTGTATTGGAAAAAATTTGATTAAAAATTTCGCAGATTTCATAATTAAAATTGAGAATTATTTTTCTGATATAATATAAACATACAAATGTATATATTGCTTACAAATTAATATAATGTATTAATTAAAATAGCGACCATTTTAAATTATTTTAAAATGAACGTCGTATTGTCATTTTGTAATATTACTCTCATTTTAATTTTGTAGCAATTGAAACTGAGGTAGCGAAAGTCGTACGAAACAGAATCTATTCCTTGCTCTAAATTTAAATATTTTAAATCTACGAGTAGTATACGAACCATTTGAATGTTTTAGACATTTTAAATTAGAAATAAAAATATTACGTAGAAAGAAAATATAGGTTTCATTTATACTAGTCAATTCTAATTTTAAAAAATCTGTTGCTGACCTTTTTTTACTCGTTTTAACTTTTACTTGACGAATTGTTTTTGCTTTATAATTCTGTAAGCTTCCTCTTAATGGACTTTTTCATTGTAAAACCATCATATACACGTCATACATATCTACATACAATTTATATTACTTATCGCCTGTAAAATCATTATCCTCCTTTTTAGTAGTCAAGTCAAAACGAAATAATTTAAAGTGGCCTTATATATCATCGAAATCGAAATTGGCTGAAGAAACACTTTACATCTTTCAAAGTCCAAACAGATCATATTTCCATAAATCCGTTGACTCGGCTAACTATATTATTTCAGATCTACTCGAATATAGATATAGCTTTGTTTAATAATCTTAGATTGATGTTCATCAAGTCAAACGTAGCGGCAAATTTCTAAACTCATCACAGGAACAGTTGCTCAAAATTCGCTTTCATATTCAAATTTAGAACGTTTTGATTATGAATTCATGGTACACTAGGTAATAACAGCTATGCAAATTCCGTGGTCTCGGCAAACGGAAATCTTCGAAGACGCAAATCTAATTTCAAATCCACTAATAGGTATTCTCGAGTCAAATCGAGACTGAAATTTTTATAAGATTTGATCAGCGGCTATATATGAAGATGTCGCCCTCTAATGTCAAGAATTTCTAGATTTTAGTGTAGCTTACGAACGATAGTTTTTGTGTCCCCCAAAACATGAAACAAGTGTATTATAAATACGAAAGTTTATAAGGACGGATGGATGGATGAATGAATTTCAAAAAAATGCAAAAACTACTCTACGGATTTGAATGCAATTTGGTACATGAGTAGATTATATCCTAAATTACTACATAGGATACTTTATATACTTACTACCACTACTACTAGTTCCTTTTTATATGATTAAAACAAGAATTTGAAGAGATCAGAGGTTTTGATCACAGAACTTGGATTCGATCTTGATACCACCGAATGGCAGTCAAACATTGTTCAACTAAGCTGTCTCTGCTACATATCCTATCATGCCTATATCTATAACCGGGCAGCTTGTTTGCATACTATCAGCTTAAGGGTGAAATATGGATACTGGATACTGTAATCTAAGATCTTTATGTTGCAAAAACTGACAAAGCGTGAGCTATATCTCTGGTATTGAAACGATAAACTTGTATAGAAAAAGCTATAAGTTTCACATTACAACTTTATTGCATTACAATAAAGTTCTGAATCGTTTAGTTAAAAATACAATCTATCACTCATTTTTCTCCTCAGGTTACCGTAAGAACAAACCAAAGAAACAAAGTAAAAAATACAAAAGAAAAGAATACTTATTTACTTATTATATTTATTTTAATTAAAAATGCTGGTGATAATGTTTATGTGATAAAAATGGAAATGAAATAATAATTCCATTCCCCACGCATTTCTATTTCATATATGCCGAAATTGAAATTAAATGAAAAATATTTATTTTGCTCAAACCAACACACAACACACACATTACATGGTTGTAGCTTTCAAAAAACAAAAAAACAATATATACAAAATTACAATAAAAAGAAATTGTCTATAACCTGTTTGTTTGCCACCATAGCAGTATAAAAAATAATAAACTGGCATTGTACTCGTAATTTAAAAAATGAATAACCAAAAAAAATTAATACAATGATAAAAAAAAGTAAATGGCACATAATATATATATATATATATATATATATATATATATATATATATATATATATATATATATATATATATATATATATAATTTAAGTGCAATATATATTACACTTAGATTATATATTGAATAATGAACCATTCAATGCCATTTTTAAACAGAATAATGTTTGCGCCCTTCAGCCAAAGTGAATGAAGTTTGACTGAACCGTGTTAAACAGGCATTATCCATCTAAATGTACTTTCAATGGTTCATTTAGTAACACATTGTATATATATATATATATATATATATATATATATATATATATATATATATATATATATTACAGATAATCAAACTGAAAACCTAATATTATTTAAAATATAAAGTTGCATTCACATTGCACGAAAAAGTTCCGTGAGTTTTTTTTTTTTAAGAAATCAAATCACTCTACAAGAGTAATCAAATCTCTCCCAATTTTATTAATCTGACCCTTATTGCCTTGAAAAAATTGCTTTTAGCTATAAGGCCGCCATTTTGCACTTAACAAGTTTCCGTTTAAGCGCATTTATTTTATCATTCTGTGACACCCATAGTGTTGTAGGCGTCCATGATCGATGGTTACCGGATGCTTGGAATCTTTGTGATACAAAAAATCGGTATATATTAAATATAGTTAATAAACAAGCAAGTAATAATTCATGTCAGAGATGAGAAGGAAATGTGAATAATGAGATCTAACTTTTTTTTTCTTTTCATGCAACTTAGATTGGCATACAAGCTGACTGCCCACCTGATGGAAAGTGGTATATAGGTGGTGGTGCTAATAGTCGCCTATAGACATGAGGAGTACCATGGACATAACAGAGTATACTGTTTCACCCATGACACCCTTCATGCGTTGCCATTCCTGAGGACTCAGGTAACTACCCCATTGCTAACAATATATCCTATCAGGTTGACCCCCACGTAGGTCCTCCTGAAAACCATCGTGATTAATTATTTTTGAATTCGTTATGATAATCCTATTGGCCAGTGTCCATCCTCACCAGGGTATATCACGCGCAGACGGATCCCTATTTCATTTTTATGTATAAAAAAATCTATATCAGAAACGGAGTGTATATAGAGAGCAATCTAGTGACTCTTAATACCACACTAAGCAGCAGAGTGCAGTGTACTTGCACTTATCTTCGTAAATTGCTGGTTGAAAATAATATGACTTTACATTTATAATAAAGAAAACGGAATTTTTAATCCATTGCATATAATTAGCCAATATCACAACCAGGGGTGCTCAAACCTTGACCTTGTCTAAAAAAATGCATATTGTAAGGAAAATTAATATCTATGTCAGGATACAACCAATGACGACAACAAAGACGACAATCCTGCATCACACATACTTGCAATCTCTCAGAGTCGATCAATCGTAGTCTAACAATATTGAAATAGATCGCCAGCAGTTCAAGTTTGAGTACCTCTGATCTAAATACATACATACATACATACATATCTGTCACGCCTGTCTCCCATTAGGGTAGGCAGAAACAATGGAACGCCAAATGCTTCGATTCAAACAAACTTCTTTCGCTTCTTCCACATTCATAAATAAAAATAAATACTTTAAAGTAAATAAAATAATATTTTTCTAATGTAATATATTTAAATTTCACCCCTATGAATTAAAATAAAATGCGATCTAAATTTGCAGTATTATAGATATTCCATCTATTCACTTGTTTAAGCGTGATTGATTTTATATTGTATTTTTTTTATAAAAAAAAAGCAACATGTAGTAATATATAAAATTCTAATAGAAGCAGAGTTTTATGTACAATCCATGAATTTATCTATTACGAGTAATTAGCTAAGCTGATAAGTCTTCGCCGATTGCCCCTGCTAAGTCGTCTCACAGGTGACTTTTTCACTCGTTTAATGAAAACTCCCAAATTGTTATTTGAAAAAAAATACATTGGAAGAGAGTTTAAAAATACATAGTTAAAACGACATAAATAAAACTTAATAAGTACGTGAGCGAATTGTATCTACAACGAATGAATATAGTAACAAATATACAACCATTTCCATAGCACATTTATAATATTATTACGATTAATGCCCTTTGGGGTCTTTGAGGTCCCTTTGAGACCCCTTTGAGATGTTATTTGGGGTTAGAATTGACCCCAAATAATAGAATAAGGATAAGGTCGCCGAAATATGTCGTAGAGGTTAATATATTATTTATATACATACATATATATAGATATGCATGAGGTATGCATGACTGAATAACTGTTATTACCCTTACAGGTTGACTATTGGCATATTTGTATATTGTTGACAAACTATTTTCAAAGGTACTGCTGTTATTAGTTATACTGTTCTATTAAAGATAAATGTAACTAAAATTTTGAAACAAAAAGTATAGGATAAGATTTTTTTTTATTTTATCTAAAAAAAACAAATCGTCTTTATCCTTCATTTATAATAATTAATATTATATTAATTACAAAATTAATTTTTAATATAAATTATAAAAAGGATTACTTTTTATAGTTATAATGAACAACCTGACGGTCCATTCGATGGAAACTGTTAACTGGCGGACCTGATGGAAAGTTGAAAAGTTGTAATCGTAACCTATGTACATAAACAGTATCATAGATCTTATAGAACACTTAACTCCTACAGCAATGCTAGTATGTCAACTAGCCAAATGTTATGATTGCGACTAATCTAATAAATCAATTAAATTTAAATTTACAATTTAGATTGTCTATTTTCGTTTGATATAAACGTGACCTTACTTAGACTATAGTAAATACAAACATTACAAATCCAATTGGGCACAGGCATAATACAAGCAGCTAAATGTTATTATGATCACTCAAATCAACTAGTCCAATGAAACAAATTGGCAATATATTTGTATTTTGAAAAAAAGGATTTATTATTAAGGTAGTCTATTTTCGTTTAATGTGAATGTGACTTTACTTAAACTATCGTAATTATAAATATTACTAAAATTAAACCTATAAAGTACAGACGTATCTATAATATAATACTAACTAATATGACGGTGGGACTGTCGTTCCACAGAGCTATACCTAATATAGATGTCGCAATAAGATCTTGATTACATTAAATTAGTATAATGCACTATAATAGCAGGTTTATTGATATTTAATGGCGGTACCGCTTGATGCAAATATGATGACGGTGATTTACGTGCACTTTCTAGACCAGTCGTAGTCAAAGCGTGCTCTGAGAGAAAAGCGGAGGGCCCTGCAGCCTCATATCATCTTCGCGAGGGGTCCAAGATAGATTACACGCGTCAAAAGATATAAATATCACATCACACAATAAAAAAATATATTAAATAACTATATTATACTAATTACAATTATAATATGAATAGATACACATCAATACTTTAACATTACTTCAAATTTGCACGACAATGAAGAGCTTTAATTAGTCGTAACTTATATATTTAGTATATTAATATGTATTATATATAGTTATTTATATATTTATTATATTGTATGTAAATTATTTATGTATAATTTTTGTAAGTATATTATCCTACATGTTTATATGTTCATTCATCTTAAAATGTATTAATATTGTTATCTCTCAAAATATTTATTTAATTTACAAATTGCTATTGTTAATTCAATGTACCGCCATTTACATTCTCGATTTAGCATAACGGTTCACTGTTAGAGAATACTATCAAGCATTAAGTCCGCCCTGTGTACATTTTAATATGTGCAAAAGTATAAATAAATATATAATACTTAAATAATGAATAATAATACAGAAAATACGTATATATCGTGAAACAATTTCAATGAGTGGATAATATTGTAACAAAATTATAAACTATTTCTAAAGTAAAAAAAAGGTTGTCCTGGTTATTCCTACTTGCTGTAACCAACCATCCATATCCATAATAGAAATTGAAGTGTTATCTATCAACGACATTATGGAATGCAAAGAGAAAAATAAATAAATAAAAATACAGTACCTAACATAAAAACTCTTGCATCACCTTTCTATTCACTTCTATCTGTTCTCCTTTAATCAATGTTTTTTTTTTTAATAGATGATAATGGAATGGTAACTCCACCCGCGCTATCGGTATACACCGGCGAGGTACCAGTGAAGGATGATAGGTGAGGATGGAGTAGGTCAGTTAGCCCATCGTAACGAATTCAACAGGAATTGTTCACGATGGTTTCCAGGGGAACCAGGTGGGGGTAGTTCTAATAGGGTATATTGCTAGCAATGGGGCTGTCAAACTCCATTGCTAACAATCCCTTTCCCACCCTTTTAATCAATGATTGTCTGTAAGAGATTGCCCAAACGATAACACCTGTTCATGTCTATAGGCGACGGTTACCACTTTTCGTCAGGTGGGCCGTCAGCTTGTTTGCCATTCTAAGTTGCATAAAAAAGACCGCTATTTTACTTTTATGTATACCTATATATATTCTATTTTGATCTGTATTTTATACTACTATATTTCACTTGATATTTCTAATTGTTATTGTATATTTTTATGTTTTAGGTGCAATAAAGAGTTGACTAAATATATAAAAAAAAATTAAATGATATAAAAGATTTATGTTTTTTTTTTTTGTCTAAACCAATATTATAAAGAGGTAAGATTTTTTATTTGTGATGGACAAACTCAAAAATACTTAACCAATTTCAAAAATTTCTTCACTTATAGAAAACTATTTTGTCAGAGAGTAACATCAACTATTTTATTACAAAAAGAAACCGTGCGAAGCCAACGTACGTCGCTAGTTAATAATAATATTATAAGATCACCTTAAAATTCATAAACTAGTATTGTAGTACAGTACAGATAAAAAACCTTAATAGCATAAATATAAAATACTATAAATGTTTGTTATTCTTCCACGCAAAAACTACTAAACGGACTTGAATGAAATTTGATACACGTATAGATTATAACTTAGTACATAGGATACTTTGTAATACTTTATGTACTGATTCACGTGGACAAAGCCGAGAGAAATAGCTAGTAAATTATTAAGTTACCTGTGACTAGAGTACACCGCCGTAAATACAAGTACTGCAGCGAGGGACAAGTATGCAGCAATGCACATAGACCCGCATCCGTGACTAAACCGCAATCGGTCAGATCTATGTACTCCACTGGTGGCTTGCGGGTGGACAGACGCGTCTCCAGCCATGCCCACTCCGGCCAGTCCACGTTTGGGCAACCTGAAATAAAAGAAGATTTTAATTTATATAAAACATTATTAATATTATAATTATAAAATAAACTCTGATTATAATCCAATAAGTAAACCATCCGGCCAACGTGCTAAATCAATATTTTAGATTTAAGTTCTTCATTGATTGAAGTTGATGCGACCGCGTAAGGGCAAACTCAGTGTAAGACGACCCTCCACTAAACGGAGTGATGACCTCAAATGCAAAAGCATAAAAGAAGTCAAAATGTTTATCCATTATTCGAGTATCATGCCCATAGTAACTCAACATGGTCGCAACTCAGCCCTCTAAAAGAGAAAGACACTGTCAGGATAAGAACTCTATTGTGGCCAAAACACAGCCAAAAAAATCTTTATTAAAAATAAAATAGAAATATGGATAAAATACCTACATTATGCGTGAGTATTATATTCTCTAATAAATAATAATTAATATTTTATTCTAAATAAATAAATAACAGATAACATTAGAAGAGAGGTAATACAAAAACTCAGGGAGGAAAGGGATTGTTAGCAATGGAGTTTGACATCCCCATTGCTAGCAATATGCCCTATTAGGTTAACCTCCACGAGGTTCCCCCTGAAAACCATCGTGAACAATTCTAGTTGAATTCGTCACGATGGGCTAACTGACCTGCTTCATCCTCACCTATCATCCTTCACTGGTGCCTTACCGGTGTAAACCGTTAACACAGGTGGGCTTACCATTCCATTATCACCCATTAATAAAAAAATACAAAATCTCATTCCCTCCTACCTTTTTATGTAAACTATTTATAGCTGTCTTACATTATATAAATTTTAATTGCCCTCTGATTCCAAGGGGACCGGGGCAGGTTATTACATTAACCTATCTAGAAGGTCAGATCTCAAACCCTTATTGGATACTCTTGTTCAATTACTATATCCACTGTTCGTATTATAAATTCATGTATATGTACTATAGTTATTTTGTGTGGTAATAAATTTCAATTTACTTTTATTTAAAAATATTTATAATATATATTAAAAATATATATAATATTTATTTAAAAATTTATATAAAACCATTCGCAGCTTAGTTTCACAGAATTGTCTATAATTAAAGATTGTGTCCTAGAAAAAACGATTTTAATTGTGACACAACCAGCTATTTTGGTCTAATATTTAAACTACTGAACCGATTTTAATAAAATTTTTATGGTACCAATCTATAAATATGTCCTTTAAAAAAAAAAAGAGTTTTTAAAATCGGTTTAGAACTGACGGAGTTACAAGTTAACGAACATAAAAAATACAACCGAATTGGGAACTTCATTCTTAATGAAGTTGATTGAAAAACGGATTATTTTCATTTCTAACATCCTACTGTTACTCTATACCCCCAATATTACATAATAGTTATTCGCCTAAAACAAATATTATTCTGAAGAAAAAGTACAATAGACTAAAAATTTTCTGGAGTGGATTTAGGATTAAGGAACAAAATGACTCTATTTCGATTTTTACATAAAACCATAAGAAATGTATATATCCATTCTACAATTTGCCATAACAAATTCAAATATTATGAATATCAACAGAATCCTTTGTTGACCTTATTTTATCTCGTACAGGTAAAAGGAAAGTAATCTATTTTTATCGGTTCGAAATTGAAAGTCAACAAGACATAAATATTGTTGGTAACTTATCGAATTATTGATACTTCAAATAAACTTTAATAAATATTTTTTAATAGATAAGAATACAAAAAGGTTCTCAATTCGTTTGAATTTTCAACCGAATTCAAAAAAAGAAGATTCTCGCTTCGATTATATTTTTTTCTATGTTTGTTACCTCATAACCCTCGTGGACCCATAACTCCGCTAATACCTCCATTTAAAAGAACTATTCAGGGTAATAATTATCCAACTACTAATAGTACTAATTGTTATAATGCATCAATATATACTTTTTATGTTTGTTTATAAAAAAATGTTACACTTAGTTCTAAGCTCCATAATTGTATAAATATTTACACTATGATGTGACACAATTGTTTGTGAACCTAAATAAATAAATAATTCCATTAGCTACAAACCGATTTAGATCATAATTTTTTATCTGAAAGAATATACATACAAAATAGATCCTATAGAAATTTTATCAAAACGGTTCAGTAGGACAGTATATAAAAATAACTGGTTTTGTTACAATTAAAATGGGATTTTTTGTCAAACACAACCTTAAACTCGTTGATAATATAATGTAGCTTTCTATAAATAAAATAATTTTTAAAATGGAATGAATAATTTTTGACTTTATCCATTATTATAAACAAACAAACAAAATATCTAATCTTTCCTTCTTATAATATTAGTATAAATATCATGTTGACACGGTCGCACCTTCTAAGGAATATAAATAGCGGCCATAAATAGTTCGTAAATGAGTGAAACTATCTCTTCCTGTGTATACACTATACAATGTGCTCGTAATTGGACCTTTAACTACTCCCTCGTAATAAAGTTGTTAGAATCCACGCCAACGTGAGGTCATGTAACAGCTTCAAGTATTTACACACCTTTACTGATTAAGTTATAATGTTACTTAGTACACTCACCGTCTATTTTACATTCAAGATTTTTGATAACTGTCCTCATATCACGATATGAATATTAATAGATATAAATTCTTTTACTTTTTTATTATACACGTATGTTACTTTATCTCTATGTCTTAGCATTTTCGTTAGATTTTAAAATAATCCTATTAATGTAGTAGATGTGAAAGTTCACAAAAATGTTTATTACTTTATCACACTTAAAGTACTCAACGGATTTTAATAAAATTTTATACACAGGTAGGTTATAGCCTAGTTTAAGACATATAGTACTTTATAACCGAGGCACGCGAGTTAAGCCCTTGGAAATAGCTAGTGAAAAATAATAATGCGTATACACAGACACACACACACGCACGCACGCACGCACACAAGTTTGCACGCACGCACACACACACACATATAACATACTAATATATTGTTAATAATAAGATATAGAAAACAAACTAAAAAATTTATAATAGGATCTAATAAACATCATTAAATTCCATAAAAGCGACAGATCCTTTTTTTTATTAAGTGTGACTATTTAAAAAACCATAGCTAATTACACCATGAGTGAATTTGACTACGTACCGTTAATATCTTTAAACACCTTATTAATTAATTCTTAATATTTAATAAAGTTCGTGATTCACTTTTCATCGCAAAGGTTAACTGATAGAGAATGCTACTAGCATTAAGTCCGCTTTTGTGCCATATTTTTATTTTTTTTAATGAAGGTATTCAAATAAATAAATATTTATTTATAAATAATATTCATACTTTAACAATAATGCTACATCAATTCACAATTATTAAAATGCCAAGCATCGAATCGTAAATAAAAAATGCTTAACCATTAAAATCATTTGTCAAAATTATTCATTTGAAAAAACAACTACAGTACACAAAGAATTACTAAATAATTATAAATAAAACATCAGATACGTTGGAAAGATAGAAGAATTTCTTCTGCACGATGAAAATCCATATCATGTATAAAAATTATATTACACGACTCGGTTGTAAGTACACGAATAAACCCTAAGGATTTTTTCTTGTAAAAATATAAAATATATCTTACTAATATAACTGTAATTATATTATTTATAATTACATATATATTTGTACAGAGAGCAACATGACCCAAACCTTAAAGATCAGCTCCCTTAGGCAAAGTACAAACGAATCTAATGAGAGAATCGTTAACGCTAGCGAGTCGATGAGATAGACTAAATGAAATTAATTTCTTTCCCATGTGAATGCTAAACGAAGCGATTATATCGCTACATTCATTTGTACGTATTTTAAGGGAGTAAACTCTCCAATGAAAAAAAGTAACGATGCAACAAGTTAGTTCAGATGATGATAGTAGGTTCGTCACCTGCAACGTTGGATTGTAATAAGCTCGGGGAAATATGAAATGTCGAATGTTCCGTTCACCTCAAGGACAACAGTTGATAAATGTATGAAGTATTTTTCAATTGTTACTACTACTCTTCATTAATACTACCTACCTCATTAGTTGTTATAGTAGTAAGTATCTTATTTTCTACTATATGTACTAAATTCGTAGGGAATTTAGCTTCATGAATAAGTACATAAAGTGGATGCTATGTGCCAAGTTAGGATATAATCTACCTGTGTACCAATTTTTATTCAAATCCATTCAGTAGTTTTTTTGTGAAAATGTGACAAACATCTATTCATTTATCCTTACAAACTTTCATATTTATCATATAAATAGAATTTTGAACAATATTTTTTAAAAATAAATCTAAAAACCAACATTATCTCTAGTATTTTCTTAATTTAAACACTTTCAATTTTCTAAGCGTAGATACTTCATCAGTACCTGGCGTAAACCGACGAATTTAATTAAAGTTTTCAATGAATATATATTTCGAACTTCTCCAAAAGTCAACCCACTTATCAAGTGTAGAACTTAATTACTTTTCAAATCCTTATTTCTATTGCGTAACTTCGTTTATTAGAAAACACTTTAAATGAGAAATGTTCTTTACAACAAGGTATTTCTAGTATTTTTAGTTTTTAGACAAATTATATTATGAATACTTATGATTTACATTATAGAAGTTACAACTAACGACTAATAACATAATCATTAATTATAGTAGAGATAAAAACTTTGTAAAACATTAACAATACAAGACACTGCGTCTTTATAAATAAAAATACTTATTATACCGATCTTTTCGCTCTTACTTCGCTTGTATTTTTTGTATATACTCGTATGTATGTTACGACTTTGTCAATTCCGATATTTCCTTTCCTTCGAAATTTCTCTTTTATGATCCATCTAAATAAATACTTTAACAATTATCTTGCAATTTCAATTCACCTTAAATTATACAGTCTTGTTTTGCTAGCAACTTAGGTATGTTTATAAAAAATACCCTAACTACCCAACGTTAAGTCAAACCTAGCTTTAGCTTATTTCTTGTATAATCATATGAATACTGTAAGATATTTGAACAATTGTAGTAAATATAACTGCCAAACCTTTGTTCAAGTACAAATAAAGAAATTTTATATTTTTTAACCAAATATACATCTCCCCTCTTAAGGAAAGGAGACGGCAGACTAACCCCTGGTAGTAGCACAAACGGCAGGTGTTAAAAGCCCCAAGGAGAAAAACCGACGCACCGTGGAGAGCATCCAAGAGCACTACTTTTTGCATTATTTTTTACTCGGAATCCTAACTGAGGTATTATTTCAGACGATAAGACCATTTACTAACAAAACGATTATAATAATTTCGGTGGATATAACTCCCCATATTTCGGTCACCTCATGAACCAAGTCGAGGTATTTACTCTTCTTTTCGATTTTGGTTTTCAGGCTGTTCTCGTCATGCAAAATGGCGACATTCGTGAGTGCCCGTTCCTTTATCACAATTTCAGATTTGTTCGCAAGAAATGTCCTGTCCGTGATAATGGATCGGTACTAGTAGAGCCTAACACTGTCGCTATCGAGAACCGGTAGCGCAATCTCTTATTCACAAAACCATACTTAAGAACTAACTATTGATGGAGTATTTTGGGTACTTAGTTGTGTCTGTGCAAATAGTGTTGGCAAGAACTGAACAACCCAAAAGCACATGTCTAAGTACACTCCGAAATAACATGTCGTCATCCTAGCAGACGTCATGATCAGTGCCATCCTTTAGAATCTGCTTTCGGTAATTGTTAATCTTAACTATCTAATCCTGTGTTACATAGATAAAACCCTCGGTCTCTCTGAAAAGATCACCGAATTGTAACCAGTGCACGGAGGTCTTCATATTGATGTACGACCCGTGAAGGTCTTTAAAGTACCTTCCGTGCAACTCCTTCTCTTTCCATACGGCCTCACGTTGAGAGACAACTTGCACTTTAGGTTTTCACTTCGATTGAGCGTGGAAGAAAATGGTTACAAAAATAGTACATAGTAAAGGACCACCACTCATCCACATGATCAGGATAAAACTTTAGCTTATAACAGATTGTACAGTGATGAAATTTAGCAGATCGTATTAATTAGAACAATTTCTGTGAACACTCCTTATGATATATGCAATAAAAGACCCAAAACAACGCAACGTTTCTACGCAATTTCATTAACAGAATATTTCTGTGATAACTTTAACAAAATTTTGTTACCGTTGCCGATTTCCAGAAGTAAACAGTTAACAGCTGATATTATAATGATGATGATGATGATGATGATGATCATGATCATGATGATTGGTTACCATTTCATTAAGTTCTATTAAAAGAGATATGAGATAGGATGTATCTATAGTCAGGTACATTTGGAAATATAACTCACCAGTCAGGTCAATATGCCTAAGGTCCACTAAATCCGTAATTATCGGCGCCAGAGACCGTGCATCCATGCTGGTGGACCCTGTGACCGCCAAGTGCGTCAAGTTCCTGAATGTCGCTGCCAGCAACTGAGCGCCAGCTATCGTCACCTGTAACAAATATTATATAAATGTCTTGTCGCCTGTCACCCATTAAGGTAGACAGAAACAATGGAACGCCAAATGCTTCAATTCAAACAAGTCTCTTTTGCTTCTTTCACATTCATCGATCTTATCATACACGCTCGCCCGGTACAGGTATTTTTATTAAATGTATATATAATATGTATATTTTTAATAATTTTATATAAACGTCTATTTAAGCATAAAATGAAAAAATACTAATATTATCAACATACCATTATTTTTTCATCTACTCGAATAGGAATTTATTAAAACTATAAGTAATAAACTATATTCATTATCATTTTTACCTTTAAACAACAACGATTACCATTCATTGAAGCTTTCGTGTCACGAGACCTTAGACTACTTTCAGAATAAGCTAATTTTTCAACGTCTCATCATAAAATTTTTCCATGGATATTTCTATCTATATATTACTCACAACCTATACTTATTATAACATATTCCTCTTTATTCCCTACCAGAATTATGTATGTTATATATGTATATTAAATTGTGCTTATTTACACTATTATATATATTATTTTTAACGCGCCACATAACCATTTATTCTTTAATTCCTTCTCCCCAAAGGTTGTCTGGAAGAGATTACTTAGCTATAAGAACGCTTTTTGTACTACACTATACTTATTGAAAATTCTTCAACAAGTCCTGTAATATTGGTGCAATAAAATGTTAAATAAATAAATACTTTCTATTTTTTTTATTTAACCAAAATGGAATATGTATTTTTTTTTTTATATTTACTGAATATTTGCGTTACGAGATCTCAGACAACACTGAGGATTCCCTCGGGCAAAAGCTTTTACAAATAAGATTACAGACTCGTTACGAGCCTTATCTAGTTTGTCCTGTTAAAGTCTAACATAATAATTATTTATAATTAACATGTCATAACCGAGAAACTTGATGTTACAAAAAATATTGATAAGAAAATGATGATGATGCTGAAAATGTTAATTACTGGACAAATTCTATTGATTAGTTATAAAAAACAGATACCACCATGTTGTTAACATATCAGAAATAATCTGATATCATAGTATTATAAATAATTCGTAACTATACTGTGCACGAGAAGACGCAATTATTTTTAACCCAATGACCGACCTTTTTGGTGTAACGGTTTAACACTGCGCCTCAACTTCCGAAGGTAACGGGTTCGATTCCCTAATAATAATACATACATACATTTATTTATTACCATATCTGTTTATATTGTTCTAGTTGTTTTGTTTATATATATATATATATATATATATATATATATATATATATATATATATATATATATATATAACAAAACAACTAGAAATATAAAGTACTTATTATTTGCAAAAATATATATATACATATAGTTATCTAGTTTTCACTAATTAGTTTGAGACTAAATGACAATATTTTGCATTCGTCTATAATCCAGAATATTTTACAAATTATTAACTCAATGTAAAGAAATAACTTTTTTTCAATTTCAATTAAGTCCCAATAAAAGTAACGTTACTTTGATATCTACGCTTTATTTAAGACGGAGGTTGTGTTCCGGTAAGTACCAATTAGAAACTTAAGAAAGAAAGTTGTCAATTCATTTGTAATTTTTACGACCCCTGTGGCGTAATGATGGACACGCTTATTATAAAAAAAAATGTATTTTTTTTATACAACTTAGAATGGCAAACAAGCTGACGGCCCACCTGATGGAAAGTGGTAACCGTCGCCTATAGACATGAGCAGTACCATGGACATAACAGAGACATGTCCATAACATAACAGATAACTGTTTCGCCCATGATACCCCCCATTGCTTGGCCATTCCTGAGGACTCAGGTGTTATTCCTCTGTATCCAGTAAATTCACGCCATATCCCACCCTTCAAACCGAAACACAGCCATGCAAACACAACTGCTTCACGGTTGAAACACGAATGGGACAGAGGTACCGAAGCAAACGACTTCTGTACAATTTCGTTGTCAATTCTAAAACGATTTCGATGATTATTTTTAAAATGGATGCGGTTTACTCATGTACAAATTTCGTATTAATTTTGTGGCTACTGAAGATAATAAATAATATTACTACTAATCCCAAAATTCAATCATACAAATTTACAGACAAGACCTATTAGCAAAATTAGCACTTACAGCACAATTCTTCGACCTCCATTCCCTGACAGCACTGACGCATGGCCCAGCCCTAGCCCCGGCACACCGGACTGCTATCTCCAAAGGTCCAGCAGCTCGTACCCGTCTCCAGACCTCTGGCCTTGCTGTTAACCTGGTAATGAGCCTGGCCCATCGTCTGCAAACTCTGGACATCCGACACAGGTCTGACACCTAAAAGTTAATCAATTATTTTTAAAATAGTCTACTATCTTGTTTAATGTATGTTAATGGAATTGTTACTCCGCTTATGTTACTGGTATACGCTGGTAAAGAAACAGAAATAATAAGTAACACCTATCATGACAGATTCATCAAGAATTAACCACAATGATTTCCAGAAGGAATCACGTAGATCTCAACTGATAGAGCTATTATATTGTTAGTAACCAAGCAGCTACTCTCCATTACTAACAAGCCCTATAATCATGTTCAATGATACAGCCCGAAGGCTTTATCTTGCTGTGAGGAAGCAATGAGCTGGCCGAAGAACCATTGGGGAAAAAAAATCTTGAGTGGCGACCCAGGAAATTCTCTATAAAATGTCACGCCACTAAACGGATCGACGACTTCAAATGCAAAGAACCAGTAGATGCATGTTAGGCGGGATTGTTTCATATGAATATTTAGAAGAAAGATCTATATTCAGCAATGGACATTTCACCGCCAAACTGATGATGTCGTTTGTGTTTAAAAAACACATCAAAATTTTATATTTCAATACTAAATTTACTGGATGTCTACGGTGGATGTCTAGGTGGCAAACAAGCATACGGTCCACATGATGGTAAGCGATTACCGTAGCCTATGAACGCTTGCAATACCAGAGGTATTACGCGCGCGTTTCCGACCTTGAAGAAACCTCTTAACCTCCCTTTTGAAGAACCCCATGCTGTAGTCTCTTGGGAAAACCTCGGCAGGGGGCTCATTCCATAACCTGAGTGTTCGTGGGAGAAAACATTTCTGTTGCTGGTATTAATTTATAGACCGTGGTAACCACTTAATAAATTAATATAGAATGTGGTCTATCCATATACAAAATTTCATTCATATGTAATTACAAATATTAAAATTAATAAGAAATAGGATGAGATTACCTCTAGATGCGAGAGTATTTTCAACCACAATGCATCACTCAGGGTATTATCTCTTCTGCGCCGCGGTGGGCCGCAATCGGCTAGAGTATGGTAGCCCTGGTCCAAACTCAGCTCGCTTAGGTCTGCAGCCAGAGAGATCCCGGGTTCAGGGGGAGGTGGGGGGCGACGTCGCGCACCCCCACACATCCCCGGTCCAGAACAACTCCCGCTGGACATGATGTCGGGGCCTGGAAGAAAAATAAATATTATACATATGTAAATTATATAAGCAGAAGAACCTTGATAGAAGTGTAGCAGTTGAACCTTCAAATGGTTACATTTTCGACTCTCACACGATATAAATATTTGTATTCATATCTATGTTTATATTTTGTTTAATAAATAGTTTAGAACTAGATGGCGTAAAATTACCTAATTCCTTAAAATTGTTCTACTTCTTTTCATACTGTATAATTATGATAAAGTAAACGCTGTGAATACCTTTAAAAGATATTTGTATTAATATTGTATTTATATTTAATATTTATTACATATATCATAATGCGATATGCTGTTGATGTTCCTATGAATAAATAAATAAATAAACAATAATAGAAACTTCACAAGTTACAGAAACAACCTGAAGTCAATTTTAATCGTATTATGAATCCACTTGTACATATACCAATATGTAAACCAGCCATTTTCAATATTAAACAACCCACATAAATAATCAAGCCGAGACAAGTAATTTACGCAACAATTAGTTTGTATTGCAATTTGCATACAAAAAGACATTCCTGAATCTTGACCTGACTGACAAAGGAGTCAGTACTAGAATGATATGATTTATGTTTCATTATAAGCATTAAGTCAGTGCCTGACATTTAAATTTAATAAATACCCGTAATAAATAACATAATAGGATATAAGTAATGTAAAAGATATATTCCTTGTAGGAAACTTCCAGAATATGAAAATTCTCGATTGGTCAACATTGTTCATCTATATTTTATATATCATTCATATTTTACAATCATTACAATTAATGATAAATTATCTTATATCCAATATAGTTTACTTCCGTATTGTTCCTTTTTTTAATTAAGTGATTATTGAAGCAGCAAAAAACTACTTGATGAGATAATCGGTTTGTAGACACATAATTCCGCTTTCGAAATTCAAATATTTTAAACTAATACGTCTATGAAACATCACGTTGTTTATAAATGTATTTTATTACAGTTGAAGCTACCATTTTTGTGGTAAAAAATGTACTTGTTAATTTTAACACAATAACTATGGGACCACCCGGAAAATAACCAATAGAGGTTTTGTTAAAATTGAATCAATACCATTTTCGAAAGCTTACAAGCATACAATAATTATATAAATTGTATCGTCTCCACCAATAAATCAGTAAGATTTGCTAGTTCGGTCTCACTTTATATGTCCTGAATACAGACGGACGAGAAAAGACAACTTTTATACTCGTATAGTACCCCATCAAAACGACTACACAGCAATCTATTCTGGAATGTTCTCGCTTGGCTGTTAACAGGTATAGATGGAGACACATTACGAAGACCTCAATCGAGAAAGAGAGTCTCCTCAACAATCCACCATCATCATATCGGCCATTACTTGTTCACTGGTAAACATAGGCCTTCCCCTATTCAAGGGTTTTGCAGTAGTTACCACGTTCGGTAGTCGGGCTGGCAAGAGTTAGGCTTTAATTATGCTTTAAGAGGAGCGTTGCTGCCCATCTCTTGAGCAATAAAATCACTAAGTCGCCTTTTACGACATCCACGTGAAAGGAAGAGTGGTTTATTCTATGCAGAGACCACACGGCAATCTATCATACCAGAGGGAGACTTTGTACAAAAGTCGATTGCTTGGGTACCTCTGTCCCATTCGTGTTTCAACCGTGAAGCAGTTGTGTTTGCATGGCTGTGTTTCGGTTTGAAGTTTTGAATTTACTGGGTACTGAGTCCTCAGGAATGGCAACGCATGGGGGGTATCATGGGCGAAACAGTATACTCTGTTATGTCTATAGTACTGCTCATGTCTATAGGCGACGGTTACCACTTTCCATCAGGTGGGCCGTCAGCTTGTTGCCGTTCTAAGTTATATAAAAAAAATCATTCTATAACTATTATCAGAACTATGACCACTTTGTCAAAAGTATTCGACTAAAGATGAAGAGATATATGGTACCTAATAGATGTTATTCTTTAATGCTTAAACATGATAACAATGATTTAGACCTTACCTCAGAGCATTCTATACAATGTTCTGAAAACCATTCGATTAATGCAACATGATTGAATGCATTCAAATTCTTCCCACTTATACCCACTCTCAGTACTCTAGTCACGGCGGTATCTTTGCATCATGCCTATAAAATCGAGAGAATATAAAGTTGTCCATATATAGAATGGCATCTTAATAAATATTTTATTGAACTATGTCTTTGTAGTAGGTAGGTCTATTTGACTGAATGACTAGTTTAGACCGTAAAATTCTATCTAGGTCGCGTATATCCTATTTGTCTAGATAGAAAGTCTACTTATGACGGACAAGTTATCAATCCGCCTGCCAAGCTTGGCAATTACTGGCAAAACCCTCCAAACCTCCCCTTATGTTCAGCAGTGGACAGTTAAAGGCTGATATGATGATGATGATATGATGGACCTGCATGGTTTCCAGGGAGAATCAGAGTAATAATAGATAGATAATTTATTTACATTGCTTACAGCATACAAGTAACAGCAACATGAAATAGCAATAAATGATTGAATTGAATTGAACAATACAAACATCACATAATATAGACATATACAGTAAAAGAGATAAAAGAATGAAAAACAAAATAAGCAACAAAAAAAAACAAAAAGCAAAATATAAATATATAAAATTTTACAGGATACAGAGGAATAACACTTGAGTCCTCAGGAATAGTAACGCATGCGGGGTATCATGAGCGAAACAGTATACTCTGTTATGTCCATGGTACTGCTCATGTCTATAGGCGACGGTTACCACTTTCCATCAGGTTGACTGTAAGCTTGTTTGCCTTTCTAAGTTGTATATATATATATATATATATATATATATATATACTACTGATAATTCCTTTCCTCAAGTGCATTAAAGTTCTATAACCAAATCACACCGGCAAGTTCTTCAACTAGAAGTGCCGCCTCCTCCTGGCACTTTTTTTACCAGTAATCCTGCATTAGATGATTGGTTAGTTTATCTAAATTCTTTTACACTTAACCCTTCAACTGGGCCGTTGAACATGCCTTGGATAATTAGCTGGAGTACTCAATACTTTTCATTCCTCATAACGTGACCAAAATACGATATGTTTAATGGTATTATCCTCCAACTTCTTTTTAAATCTGTCTAATAAAATTACATTATTGATTGCCTTTTACTTATGAAATAAAAAAATAAATTGCATTTCAATATATATCAAAGAAACAGATTTTATTACTGGCAATTTGCATTTACAAACATCAAAAAACCTATAAAAGGCTCTGGCCTGCTAGAAAACTATAATATACGTAAAATTAGTTCACACAAAAGAGTCCTAGACATATTTTTATTACTATACTAGCTTTTATCCACGACTCCGTCCGCGTATCTGGAATAAATAGTAGCCTATGTTTTTTTATGCAACTTAGAATGGCAATCAAACTGACAACCCACCTGATGGAAAGTAGTAACCCTCGCCTATAGATATACCTAAGCAGTACCATGGACATAACAGAGTATACTGTTTCACCCATGATACCTCTCATGGGTGGCCATTCCTGAGGACTCAGATGTTATTCCTCTGTACCCTGTAAATTCACTATCATATCCCACCCTTCAAACCGAAACACAGCCATGCAAATACAACTGCTTCACGGTAAAAACACGAATAGGACAGAGGTGCCCAAGCAATCGACTTTTGTACAAAGTCTCCCTATGGTATAAATGTCTTTCTACATTATATATATATATACATATACATATATATATATATATATATATATATATATATATATATAACAAATTTTATAGTGACTGGTTAAGTCGTTAATATATATATTAGTACAATCAAAGTAAGGAACCAACTTTCAGCAGCAGTATTTCTGAATAGTTATGATATTGAAACTTTCAAGGAAGGAGCATACTCCTTCTTAAAGGCCAGCATCACATCTGCAATTTCTCTAATGTAGCGAATGCCTAAGGGCGCAAATAATATAATACTACACTAGCTATGGGCGACAGTAATCATTTACCATCAGGAACATGCATGCTCGTTTGCTCTCTATGTTATAAAAAAACATACTAAGGATGGTATTTCATCACATTAGCTGTTAACTGTCCACTGCTGAACAGCCTACCTTTGGAAGGTTTTGCCACTAGTTGCCATCCTTGGCAAACGGGTTGGCAACTACAGTTAGGCTTTGCTAATGTTTTAATAAGGGCACTGCTACCCATCGCTCGACCATTATAAATAAATATAAATTCTACTATTATTATTAGTATTCTACGACTATGACGATATATTTATTGATATATAGAAGGATCCAACGATCACGTAATACAAAAAAGTACAATCAAATTAAAGATCTCAGTCTATGATAGACAATTGCAAATAAATATTCGATCTGTTAATCCTGCCCATCACTACAATAATGCTTCAAACCGTATACTCCAATCGCCCTTAATTGCAATCATCGAAGGACAGACAATGGGCAAATAAATCAAACGAGTCTGTCATCATACACCGCCCGTTAAATTCTCGAGTGGAAATCATTATGGAAATATCTGACAAGCTTAGGTCATACATTTATAGATGGAACCGAATGTGTAAAAGACGGTTTATCTGTAAACAGTTACACTTTTTTTGTTTAATTGTGTACACTTTTTTTTTAAATAAAATACGCCATTTTTTTGTGTCGCATGTAATAACTGTAATATTTTGGTAAAATATTACGTACTTAAAAGAAGTAACTTGTTAGGATATAATAAGATCTAATTTATCTAGAGATCTAATTATTTTATTACAGAAATTTCAATTTTTATCCTCACTCAAAACATATTGATAATATTTCTATGCATATTATTTAAATATCAGTTATTACTGATCGTACCCGACTTTACACAGATTTTTTTTTAATTATATATACTCGTATAGCATGTTACGCGCTGATACATTATCAGCTTTCTATATTTGAAAGGATTTTTAAAA